GTATAATATAAACACATGTTAGTTCTTTTCAAATGACACAGAAAGGTATAAAAAAGTGAAAATATATTACCTCTGTTTTCTCACTACCTATCTTACTCCATAGAAGTTAACCAGTGTTAATGATTTCTTAAGTACTTCTTCCAGATAACATTATAACCTACGTTCCCAAAAAATGGAGAAAGGAAGAAAGGGAGAATTTATCTAACAGCTTCTACCTCCAATTGATGAAAAGTTTACCCAACAAACTGTAACTCCTCCAAACTTCCAGGTTGAAGTTCTGGTCAGTGTCTTTTGAGGAAGCCTTGGGGCAGGATGTGAGAGATGCTTGGTGTGATATGAGGTAAAATACTGTCAGATTAAGCCTCATTCTCCTTTATGAACTTTGCTTTTCCCCCTGAGCAGCCATCACTGGAAAAAGAGACACCTGAGGCTGAGAGAGTCTGAACTGGTACATAAGAGATGTTTAATGTACTTTGTATGTAGTAGTGTGTGTAAGTGTGATCTTAATTTTATGTACTGAAAAATTATCAGTCTTTTAATTCATGGCTTATGGCATTACATTTCATAACTGTTGGTGGATTAGATATTTTTCACTTCACAAAAATTCCTAACTATCCTCTCTGTTGGTTGCCAGAAAAATTATAGCCAAGCTTAAGAAAATTACTCATGGCCAAATAATTTCAAAAACAATATTATGAAAATTGTTCAAACATTTTTATAGCAAAAATCATATTTATTGTGGCATATGAATATTTTTTATGAATATAAATATTCCTTCCAATTTATAGTTAAATTAAGTAGATATAGATTTTTCCACATAGTTAACATTAAATTATCTAGTTTAAACCTGTCAAAGAACAGGTGCAATTTATTACAGTTATAATACAAACTATACAATACATTTATTCCTGAGAAGAGATTTATAATTGTTAAAAATGTACAATATGTTACATAATACTTTCATGTAATCTCTTCTTTTTTTATTGAAGTATAGTTGACATACAATGTTGTATTAATTTCAGGTGTACAACATAGTGATTCAACATTTATTTACATTACAAAATGATTACCCTGATAAGACAAATAAGCGTCTCTCATTATACAAAGTTATTGCAATATTGTAGATTATATTCTCTGTGCTGTATATTACATCCCCAAGACTTACTTATTTTGTGACTGGAAATTTTTACCTCTTAATCCCATTCACCTATTTTGCCCTTCTTCCCACCCCCCTCCCCTCTGGTAACCACCAATGTGGTCTCTGTATCTATGGGTCTGTTTCTGTTTTGTTTTGTTTGTTCTTTGTTTTTTCTGGAGAGGAAGATTAGCCCTGAGCCAACATCTGTTGCCAATCTTCCTCTTTTTGCTGAGGAACGTGGGCCCTGAGCCAGCATCTGTGCCCATCTTCCTCCATTTTTTTATGTGGGAAGCCTGCAACAGCATGGCTTGATGAGTGGTGCACAGGTCCATGCCTGGGATCTGAACCTGTGAACCCTGGGTCACTGAAGTGGAGTATGCGAGCTTAACTACTATGCCACTGGGCCGGCCCCTCATTATTTTTTTAGATTCTACATATAAGTGAAATCATTCAGTGTTCTTCTTTCTCTATCTGGCTTATTTCACGTAGTATAATACCCTCTAGATCCATCCATGTTGTCACAAATGGGAGGATTTCATTATGTTTTTTGGCTGAGTAATATTCCATTGTTATATATACATACACCACATCTTCTTTATCCATTCATCTACCAATGGACGCAGGTTGCTTCCATATCTTGGCTATTGCAAATAATGCTGCAATGAACATACAGGTGCATATATCTTTTCAAGATAGTGTTATCATTTTCTTCAGATAAATACCCAAAAGTAGTATTGCTGGATCATATGGTAGTTCTATTTTTAATTTTTTGAGGAAACTCCATGCTATTTTCCATAAGCTGCACCAATTTACATTTCCACCAACAGTGCACAAGTGTTCCCTTTTCTCCACATACTTGCCAACACTTGTTATTTGTTGTCTTTTTGATAATAGCCATTCTGACAAGTGTAAGCTGATATCTCATTGTGGTTTTGATTTGCATTTCCCTGATTGGTAGTGATATTGAGCATCTTTTCATGTGTCTGTTGACCATCTGTATGTCTTCTTTGGAAAAATGTCTATTCAGGTCCTCTGCCCATTTTTTATTTGGATTATTTGGTTTTTTAACATTGAGTTGTATGAGTTCTTTATATATTTTGATTATTAACCCCTTTCTGGATATATCATTTGTAAATACATTCTCCCATTCAGTAGGTTGCCCTTTTGTTTTGTTGATGGTTTCCTTTGCCATGTAAAAGCTTTTTAGTTAGGTGTTCTCCCATTTGTTTATTTTTGCTTTTGTTGCCCTTGACTGAGGAGATATATCCAAAAAAATATTGCCAAGACCAATGTCAAAGAGCTTACTACTTATGTTTTTTCTAAACGTTTTATGGTTTTCAGGTCTTACATTTAAGTCTTTAATCCATTTTGAGTTTATTTTTGTATATGGTGTAAGGAAGTTGTCCAGTTTCATTCTTCTGCATGTATCTGTCCAGTTTTCCCAACGTCATTAATTGAAGAGACTGTCTTTTCCTCATTGTATATTCTTGGCTCCTTTTTCATAGATTAAGTGGCCACATAGGCATGGGTCTATTTCTAGGCTCTCTATTCTGTTCCATTGATCTATGTGTCTGATTTTGTGTCAGTACCATACTGTTTTGATTACTATAGCTTTGTAGTATAGTTTGAAATCAGGGAGCATGATACCTCCAGCTTTCTTCTTCTTTTTCAAGATTACATTGGCTATTTGGGGTCTTTTGTGGTTCCATACAAATTTTAGGATTCTTTTTTCTGGTTCTGTGAAAAATGCCATTGCTATTTTAATTGGGATTGCATTAAATCTTTAGATTGCTTTGGGTAGTATGGACATTTTAACAATATTAATTCTTCCAATCCACAAGCATGGTGTATCATTCCATTTATTTGTGTCATCTTCAATTTCTTTAATCAGTGTCTTATAGTTTTCAGTGTATAGGTCTTTCATCTCCTTGGTTAAATTTATTCCTACATATTTCATTCTTTTTGAAGTAATTGTAAATGGGATTTTCTTAATTTCTCTTTTTGATAGTTTGTTGTTACTGTATAGAAATACATTTGATTTCTATATATTTATTTTTCATCTTGCAACTTTACTGAGTTTATTTATTAGTTCTAATAGTTTTTGGTGGAGTCTTTAGGCTTTTCTATATATAGTATCATGTCTTCTGTAAATAGTGACAGTTTTACTTCTTCCTTTCCAGTCTGGATACCTTTTATTTCTTTTTCTCGTCTGATTGCTATGGCTAGGACTTCCAATACTATGTAGAATAAAAGTGGGGATAGTGGGCATCCTTGTCTTGTTCCTGATCTTAGAAGAAATGCTTTCAGCTTTTCCCCTTGAGTATAATATTAACTGTGAGTATGTCATATATGGCTTTTATTATTATCTTGAGGTATGTTCTCTCTTTATACCCACTTTGTTGAGAGTTTTTATTGCAAATGGATGTTTAATTTTGTCAAATGCTTTTTATGCATCTATTGAGATGATTATATAATTTTTATCCTTCATTTTGTTAATGTGGAGTATCAGGTGATTGATTTGTGGATATTAAACCATCCTCACATCCCTAGGATAAATCACATTTGATCATGGTGTATGATTCTTTTGATGTGTTGTTTAATTTGGTTTGCTAATAATTTCTTGAGGATTTTTGCATCTATGTTTTTCAGGGGTATTGGTCTCTAATTTTGTTTTTCTGTGATGTCTTTGTCTGATTTTGTACCAGGGTAATGCTAGCCTTGTAGTATGAGTTTGGGTGTGATCCTTCCTCTTCAATTTTTTGGAGTAGTTTGAGAAAGATAGGTATTAACTCTTTTTTAAATGTTTGGTAGAATTCACCTGTGAAGCTGTCTGGTCCTGGATTTTTGTTTGTCGCGAGTTTTTTGATTACTGATTTAATTTAATTACTAGTAATTGGTCTATTCAGATTTTCTATTTCTTCCTGATTCAGTCTTATAAGATTGTATGATTCTAGGAATTTATCCATTTCTTCTAGGTTGTCTGATTCGTTGGTGTATAATTGTGCATAATCTCTCATAATCTTTTGTATTTCTTTTCTGTGGTGTCAGTTGTAACTTCTCCTCTTTCATTTCTGGCTTTTTTTTGAGCCCTCTGGTTTTTTTTCTTGATGAGTCTGGCTAATGGCTTATCAGTTTTGTTTATCTCTCTTTTAAAACAACCAGCTCTTAATTTCAGTGATCTTTTCTATTGTTTTTTTAGTCTTTATTTCATTTATTTCCACTCTGATCTTTATTATTTCCTTTTTCTATGAACTTTGGGCTTTGTTTGTTCTTCTAGTTCCTTTAGGTATAAAGTTAGATTGTTTATTTGAGATTTTTCTTCTTTCTTGAGATAGGCCTGTATTGCTATAAACTTCCCTCTTAGACCTGCTTTTGTTATGTACCATAGATTTTGGACTTTTGTGTTTTTGTTTTCATTTGTCTCAATGTAGTTTTTGATTTCTTCATGATCCATTGGTTATTTAGTAACGTGTTGTTTAGCCTCTATGTGTTTGTGTTTTTTCCAGTTTTCTTCTTATAATTGATTCTAGTTTCATACTGTTGTGATAGGAAAAGATTATGGATATGATTTCAATCTTAAATTTATTGAGACTTGTTTTGTGGCCAAAACGTGGATGTATTTTAATGAGCTTGTTTTACTTTGTGTGGTGCCTTTGGATGTGAGAACCTTAGGTTCAGCGAGGATTTTAAAATGGTCTTGTGCTTACAGGACCATTTCTGAACCCTAGGATCAATATAAATTTTCTGAGTCTTATCTTTGAAAATTCTCATTTTAGAGAACTCAGATATAATCTTAAAGAAAAGAGCTAATGACTATAAGTTAGGGATATAGCTAACAGGCATGCATGCACACATATATACATACATGAAATACTTAGAACACATCTTAGGAAAAATGGCAGAAACTTAGAAGATCTGACACACTCAAAACATTAATGAAAGAAGAAATGAGAAAAATAGACCTTGATCACCCAAAGTAAACCTATGTGACTTGTGGAGATAATTTTCATTGGGTTGAACTGAAAGCTGCAATGGGAAACGTGGGGGGGTCTATAGTCTCAATTTAGAAAAGCCATGATATTGGTTGGTGTCAGTCACTGTGTCAAAGATAAGGAGAACATTGTTCATCTAATGAGAATTTGTTTATCAGACGGCGGGTAGAAGCTGTGCTCCCAGTGAGGGTTTATATGTAGTACATCAGGATTCACTATGCTTGAACTGGTAAAGATAGTTCAACAGAAGCTTTCCTGAATTATCTCTGAAATTGATGAAAGCTACTTAAAGTTAAGGACTTTTACTTATTGATTGATTCTACCCCAGCATTCCTCTTTTAGACAAAATTATGGATAATTTTTAGCAAGCCAACGGTATCTGAACTGACATGGGAACCTTAGAAACAAGCCAAAACTTTAGGTGGTTTTTCGGAGTTTATTTGCCTTCAAAATATGAATTCCTTTTTTATGTTCTAGCACTTTGGATTACAGATGAAATAACTTGACATGTAATAAAAAAGTAATAGTCTATCTGAAATACTTTGATTTCATATTTTTCTGAAGCCTCCTTCTTTTTCCTTTTTCTTTAAATACAGTGTTCATTTCTCATTGCCTGCCATGCTTGAGGACTATTCTCTGTGTGATTAAGCTTGCTCTGTGCATGGCAAGTATATGAAATATGTGGATAGGAATAAGAATTTATGATTAACACCAGGTAGGTTTGTGTTAGATATCCTAATTTGCACTCAGCCTGACAAATAGAATTTCTTTAGATTTACAGTTTACTTACAATCAGTGGGAATGTTAAGAAGTAGCAACTACACCACCCCCACCAACGCTCACTGCAGTCACACTTTTCAAGCCGCCTCATTTACTAAACTTTTAAAAATTGCTTTGAGAAAAGTAAGTTCCTTGTTCTTTTGCTAATGATTATAATAAATAATATTTGTTCCAAAGCAAAATAATCAGACACAGAGGAAAAGCAAGGAAAAAATATACACAATCCACAACACTCTGAATCTGTTAAATTCAGGATATTTAAGAATTGACAACAATCCTCATCCTACTGCCTTATTTTTTAGCAAGTCCAGTGACTATAGCCTTATTTCTCATATTTAGGGTTGGCAATAAGCTCTAAAAATATTTATTTGACACTGATCATATTTAAGACATATTGAGATAGCAATCGATTAACTCAATCAAATTATTTACTATCCTTAATTTTAAAAAATAAAAATTCTCAGTGCTGGAAAGAGTACTACTTGAATGTAAACTGATCCAACCTATTTGGAAAGCAATTTGGTGCTATGAATCAGAAGCCTCAAAAATACCCATGCTCTTTGACTCAGTAATTGTATTTTTGGGATTCTAACCTAAGGAAAAATTATAATAGTCTAGATAATGCAAAATATACACAAACATTTATGTATAATGATATTCATAATAGCTGACTATTATGAAGTACTTATTATACAGTAGGAACTGTGATGTTTTAAATGTATTATCCCATATAATCATTCTCGAAATAATTCTGTGTGATATTTACTGTTATTGCCTTTATTTTATTGGTAAGGAAGTGGGCTAAGTGAGGTTGATTGACTAATGATTACACAAATGATAAGTGATGAAACTGGAATTAAAACCTAGCTGTGTGGGAAATTCAAAGTCCCTAGTTTCCTTCCCATTTTGAAAATTTTAAGTTTATGGAAAAGTTGACAACTGAGTACAATGAACCATTCATCTATTCAATAAAATTTACCAATTGTTAAATGTTGGCTACATTTGTTCTCTCTTTCTCTGTATATATACCCCAAAATATTTCAGCATCTATCACGAAGAATAAGAACATTATTCTGCTTAAGTACGTGCCATTATTGCGGTCAGGACACTTAACATTAATTCAAAAATATCATCTAACATACCTTCTATTTTATCTAATAAAAATAGATTACAAATACACATACATACAATAAAAATAATTAACATACTTTCTATTTTTAATTTTTAAATTAAAAAAATTTTAATTTTTAATGGTAGGATTCATACTTTCAATTTCTCTGCTATACTGACTTCTTTGAAGCAACACTGTGCTTTTTATAATAGCAAAAAAGGCAGGATGATTACCTAATAACGTAAAAAGGTTAAAGAAATTATAGTATAGCCATGTGATGAAATATTATGCCTCAAAAATGGGAATTTATGAAGGAATTTAATGACATGGGACAACTCTTATGATCTCATGTTAAATAAAAAAAGTTGATTATAGCATTACAGTTGAACTCACTTATACATTTGTTCTTTTCACAGTCTTGGGTTTAATGTTTATAGATGCAGGGCACTCATTCCTAGCTACAAAGAAGAACTAGACATGATCTCTCTCATTTGGAATTCTCAGTAAAGAAGGGTGAGCAAACCTTTAAATAGATGCCTAGAGTAAAATGGGGTAAAAGTGAGGGAAATGTGGATTTCCTGGGAGAGGAAGCAGGTCTGCCTTCCAGGGTGAAGGAAGGGGACAGAGAAGGCTCCCCAGAGGAAGTATGAAATCTATTATTTAAAAAGTATGGAAATGATATGCAAGAGTGAGCTAAATATCCAATATTTTAAAGACTATTTTTAGGTGGTGGGATTATGGATTCTTTTTCTTCTCTATGTTTTACTTGTTTTCCAAGTTTTAAAAATAGATATATATATTCTTTTTTAAACAGAAAAAATAAATTGTTGAAGATTTGTTAAAAATTAATTTTTAGGATTTACCTAATTCCCATGGTAAGTTGATTAGTTGAAGAACACTGAAATAAAACTCTCCTTGATCTTAAAAAATAATAGATACTTTTAATAATGAAAATAATAGCTATTAAATTTTATCACCTTCTCTCATTGTTTAGTAATATTTTAGTTAAGGATTTGTGTTGACAGCATCTTCTCGATTACATGTCCATTTTTATTGAGCTTGGTAGATAAATGGTAATATAGAAATACATTAGCCCACAAAACAATGAGACTTATTTAGATGCCTTATGATCATGCATGTCCATTCTTCCTATAACCATAGTGATAGTACGTGTACCAGCAGCCAACTAAGTAGTCTAACAAGACCTAAAGTCATTCATCACTTGTATTCAACAAATATTGTGATGGTAAATGCTATGCATTTTTAAGGAAACTTTCATGGAGTTATGAAATAGATTATGTAGCATGTAGATTTTTTACTTGCCTTCAATATTGATTCTTTTTTTATTTAGGCTTTCTCTCTTTCTTTAGTCTTTTCTTGGCATATGTGTAATGTTAACTTCCGTAGTTGTTAAAATACATAGTACAAATAACTCATGTTTAAAATATTCATAGTCTTCAGTATGGAATGGCAAAGTGCAAGTTTGAGGTAATGCAGTAACCTGGGATGTTTGTGAAGTCAAAAATGCCAAAAGCAAACTAGGACTTTGAGCAACAGCCAGGGTCAACATGAAGATGAGACATCTATATTGCAGTCAACTTAGAAGCAAATAGATCAGCTGATGGAGGGAAGAGGAAGGAGAAAATTGGAAACTTTAATTGATCTCGCTAGTCGCTTCTTTACTACCTGCAATGAGTCTGACTCCTCCCCCATATCATTGTAATGTGTTTATTTGATAAAGTCAAATGGCTCCTTTAAAGATAATTTAATTACTTTTAATTAAGGAAACCTGTGTTGGGGGACGAGGTGGAATCTCCCTCTGCCCTTTTCCTTAAGGTTCTTATGGCTGGCCAAATAATTAACAAGACAGGTTAGCAGGAGAAAGTAATACCAAGTTTAATACATGTATACATGGGAGAAAGCAGGGACACTGCGTTTCTCAACACAATAGGAGAAATTCTCGTCTTAAATACCATGTTCAGCCAATGACAAAGGAGGATGTTGGGGGTGGGGGGAGTCAGTTACAGGAGATTACCACTAAAGCACAGTAAACAAGAGTAAGGTTATTATGCAGATTTAAGGCCTCACCTTTCACATTGATAAGCCCCTAGAAATGAGGCCATCCCCCCCTCTTCCCAAAACAGAGAGGGAGATACCTTTACAAATGGAGATTTCCCTTATAAATGTAAATGATTGTCTGGCAACTCCTCACAGGGCCATCCAGAGAATGTGGCCAGAGAGACAGAACTTCTGATAAGATGGGCTTGTTGGTGCCTTTCCTATTGTAACATTTATCCTACATTATCTTTACAGCCATCATGATAGATCTGTTCCAGGAAGGAGCCACCATGTCAAATTCTTTAGGCAGTTAGTGGAGGAGGTCAAATGTCCCTAGAGAAAACAACCAAGGTAAAGAGATAGATTTCAGGGTGGCCAAATCTTGATGTCCCACACCTGTTTTAATAGCTAGCACTTTGAGACATGTGGTGCTCATGGCTCCCGACATATTGAACACCACTGCTCATTAGAAACTCTTTAAAAAGTCATTTAGTGCAGAGAGTATCTTCTGCTGAGCAAATGCAAACCTATAATTCAGGCTCAACATAATTATAATATTATTCACAAACTCAAAGACAAATGTAAAATGCATCCAAAAAAGTAAAGCTTATGTGTATAAGATCACTGGACATGTAGACCAGAACAGATCTTTTAAATGGGCAATAGACTGTCAGGGGAAGAGGGAGAATCTCCCTCTGCCCTTTTCCTTAAGGTTCTTATGGCTGGCCAAATAATCAACAAGACAGGTTAGCAGGAGAAAATAATACAAGTTTAATAACATGTATACATGGGAGAAACTCAGAAATGAGCAACTTGCCCCTCTGTCTAAGCTGCCTGCTTAAGTATTGCAGCTAAAGGCGAGGAGCGTGTTGGGGGTGTGTAGTGGCCTGGGACTTCAGAGGGCAGGAGCACAATTCTTTTCAGGGTCATCTATAGATAATGTGGTCAGGGAGAGACAGAGTTTTTGATAAAAAAGGCTTGGTGCCTTTGCTATTGTAACCTCTATCCTACATTATCTTTATAGCCATCATGATAGAAGATCTGTTCCAGGAAGGAGCCACCATGTCAAATTCTTTAGGCAGTTAGTGGGGGAGGTCAAACGTCCTTCAGAGAAAACAATCAAGGTAAAGAAATATATTTCAGGGTGGCCAAATCTTGATCTCCCACAAGACAATACTCGCCATTTTAATTTTTCTTGCTTTTGTTAGGAATGTATGCACTGGCTAGAACCTAGCATTATCTAGAAGCTAATAAGTCAATGTTTCATTGCTTCTGCCCCTGCAAATGGCTTTAGATTTAAACATTTATTTTACTGATGAAAACAAAAGTCTAAACTCCAGAAGTCTAAATTAAATTTAATGACGTATTCTCTTTGCTGAGCCTTTGTCTTGCCCAGACAGGTTAAAGTGCAAGGGGAATGATTTGATCTCATTAGCTTGCTGCTGCTGGTGGCTGGTAGTTATCACTGATGGTGAGGGTTTTCATCACAGAGCTGTGCAACCGGAGACCCTGAACAAAAGGGGCCCACCCAGCCTCCAGGTGGTCATTTCTGGTAATAAGTGCCTTGGGGAAAGTTCAGCTCTGTAACAGTATAATAGCCTGGTAAGTCTGCCAAGGAAGTGGCCCTTTCCAAAACAATTTTTTTTTTTTACCTTTTTCCTGTCAGTCATATAGCACAGTACACAAGAGATTTGCTTTCTAACAGAGGAGCCAATTAGAAGGCAAGACTTCAGTATAGTTTTTCCTACTGGTCTTGCTGACAAAACCGAGGTATTCTTTATTTTCAATTTTATTCCTTGCTTACCACTGTCTGGATTTCCCTGCCAATGGCTTATCCACTTTAAGTGCCTAATTTGTGCCATGTACAAAATCTAGTGGGGCTAACCACTGATATGCTGTGAAAAGGAGTATTCGCTTGGTACTTAACAAACATACTGTAACAGCTTCTCTAGTTGCAAAAAGCTAATTGTATCGGGGACTCTTTTTCCAAAGAAGAAAGCTGTAATAACTGTTATTTCTGAATCCCAACTTGGAATTACGTATTAGCTGCTGAAAAGTCTTAAGAGATATGAGTAAGGAGGATGATTAGGCATTTATGAAGGGCCGTAAGCTAGACCTTTCAGAATGAACCATCTTAGGGCAATGACTACCATTTATTGAGAGCTTATTATGTGTCAGACTCCTAGAAAATATTATCTTCTTATAATCTTTATGGCAAACTCATGAAATAGAAATTATTATCCTTAATTTTGCAGCAGAGGAAATGGATCCTTAAAGAGGTTAAATAATTTGCACAAATTTATAAAACCAAGTAGGGACTGGGACTAGAACTCAGGTCATCTCACTAGAGTTTGTTTCTTCCTCTGCACTAGCGGTCCTCAAACTACAATGTGCATGAGAATCACACGGAGGGCTTGTTAAGACAGAGATTTCCAAACCTCACTCCAGAGCTTGTGATTTGGTGGGTCTGGGCTGGGACACAAGAAATTACATTCCTAACTTGTCATGCCTGGGTGATGCTGATGTTGCTCATCTGAGGACCACACTTTGAGATCCAGTGTTCTATACCATGCTGCCTCTCCTAAGAAGTACATTAAATTCAGGGAAATGGGCTAATGAATGTCAAAGTTTGGATAACATTAAACTGGAATAAAGCTTTCGTTATCATCAATATTAATCAATAACAAGGTGGGGGCTATTTTATTTTTAACATTAACAATGAAAAGTTTTTGCTTAGGGAATAACAGTTCAAGTACATGAGCATTAATCTATACTATACGTGTACCAAGTATCAAAGTAGAAGCTGATGTGGCAGGCACAATGATCAATTAGAAATGATACTTGTCTTTCGAGAGCTTAAAATTCTCAAAGAGACATATGTTTACAAATTATTAAGCAGAACACAGAAATATAACAGAGGTAAAAGCAATATGTCTGAAAACACCAAGCTGGGAGATATTAATTCCAAAAGGATATTAATTTTACTTTGGAGAAAATGATTTCTAAATACTAGATTTATTCTTTTTTCATTTCTGCTGTATGTATGGCATACTCCTTCTGTTATATTTTTCTTGCTTTCATCACACTGTAGGTAAATAAAAATTTTTTTTCAAGTTTCATGTAGAAGGTTGTCATTGTTCAACAGGTGATTCCATCTTCTGATTATCACAGTCTAGCAATAGTGACAATAAGTCTAAAATGGAGTCATGGCCTTCCTCCTCATGTGCGTTTGGCCATTGAGTTTGCCTGTAGAGTGTCCTAAAGAGCCTCTGGCCAAGAGGCAGGGAGGGACCAGAGCTCCACAAATCGGAAAGTTGCTGTGACTCTGCTGCTGGACAATGCCTCACCTGAGGGCCTAGTCCACTCTGAATGCCTCTGAGTGGTTGAATGTGTTCTTTGGAAGGCAAAGGAGTTTTGTTCTAGATAAGAAATCACTCTTCGGACCGAATAGAGTATGAATGACTTCTGGGTTTAGCACAAAGTATACTCAGACATATCACATTTAAATTCTTCCCCCCAAAATTATAGAAAGTGAACATTTTGCTTTTCTACATAAGAAAATAGCAAACCTTTTTCATTCTTTTTCTTAACCTTTTCCTCCACCATCCATTTCTTCTATGCAAATGGTTTTTAGAGAGTAGTTATAGCTCGGGCTGGAACATTTTCCTTGAGAGTTCTCTAAAAATGGAGAACGGAAGGCTCACTGTCTCCCAGGGCTGCGCCAGCAGTCCTTTGAGGCTGGACACTCTAAATCCACAGGCTTTGTATCAGATGTTCTCTCCGTGTGGTCCCCAGCCACATAGAGTGACATTCTAGCAATTGTTCCTTAATAAGTCGTTTTTCCTAATATTTTCTACATTTTATAAATTATTCTCTTTTTTAAATGAAAGACTCTTGGTTTTTCTTTAAATGCCAAGGTCTTCAGTAACTCTGAAAACACATGCATTTTAATTTGGTATGTTTGAACTTCAAGAAATTATGGGCCAAAATATTCTTAATATAGACCCTGGATTTTCTGAGCTATCCTGAATTACAAGTTTATTTTATACTTGCTGTGTTGTCCACGTAAGTATGTGAAGTCAAAGCATGTTTTTGTTTTATAACTTTTGAAACTAATAACTAATGTTATTAGTCTCCTTACAGTGCACCAGGTTCCACGTTAACTTCTTTACATAAATTTTTAAAAATTTTATCCTCATTACAACTCTATGTTTGGGTGTCATTGTCATTCCCATTTTCTAGTTGGGGAAACTAAGGCTTGTAAATGTTGCAGGATTTGTACAAGATCATACTGATAGTCAGGGCTGACTCTATATAATTTGTGGGGCTATGTGCAAGATGAAAATATGGGCCCCTTGTTCAAAAAGTAGTCATGGTGTCAAGTTGTCATAGTGTCCTTTATTTGCCGTTGAATGTTGCCCTCACTTGGGTATGAGGATGCTCAAATGATAGATGCAGACTCTAACAGGTGCCTGAAGCCTCGCTCTGCAACCTGTTGCACTGGGCTTGCAAGCCTAACCTGACCCTCCCCTGTCTAAGTCCCACCTGGGGTGCAAGACAGCAGCGGTCACTGGGCAGGGCTGAGAGAGGAAGCCAATGCGAGGCTTGGGGTACCAGGGGAAGAGGGAGCAGGCATCTGAGAACCAGTCCCAGGAAGATGAGACATTGTGGGAGGTAAGACTACACCTGAACCCAGACCCCAAGCCCTGGCACATGTGCTATTGTCCCATCAGACTTTGCTTAACAAATCGCAAATTTAGAGATAAATTTATGAAGAATTTCAAGACAGTGACTACCAAGCACTGAAACGCAAACACAGGACCCTCTTCTGAGCCTTGCCTTCAGAGGGGAAGAGTTCATACAACAGACTAAAGTTCATGAAACTTCATAAAGTCAAACACCCATGGAGCTGACACTGTTAGTACTAAGTACAGAGTTTGGAATCCAACACAGTTATGTAGGACTCTAAAACCGAATTCCTTCCCATCCTGGAAGTCATGTCATTCAAGTAGAGGAAACAGGAGTTATACAGGTTCCTTAGGGATCAAAACCACCCATGGAAGGCTAAAAGCCTTACTAAGATAAGAGGAATCCTCATATAGGTCTGATGTTGGGGGAGAAAGACTAGCACCCACCTTTTAGGCAATCCATGCCACTGTAGGCTTTGATTCTTGGTAGTCATTATACTTTCCATCAAATGATTCGACCTGCATATTATTATCTATATGAAAGCATACAATATGAATCGTGTTAATGCATCATTGTTATTGCTTAAAAAAAGTTTTTCTATTATGGTGACCGAGAAACTTTCCTTCTTAGCCTGTTAATTAGATTTTTCTGAAGCAATGCTTAATCTTGAGCATGTGATCTGTCACCTCAGCCAGTGGCCACCCTGGGATGTGATGGCCAACCTCCTTGAGAAGTTAGGCTGGAGTCCTCTGTTTGGAGTGGAGGCTAACACCCAGCCCCAACCCATTCTGCTGTTACAATTTAATGACAAATTTCCCGATTAAGTCTGTGTTCAAATTTCATCTGAGGAAAGAAAAGCAAATTCACCACTGGACCTGCACGTTTCCCATTACCCTTAATAAAACATATTCCACAGTGAGGAGTGACATTTTAAAAGAACAGACCTTTCAGCAGACTGTCTCTATGCCATTGTGCATAACTGAAGCCTGCCAGGGCACAAAGGGAGATGCTGGGGAAGTGGATTAATATGTAAACCAACCTAGCCAGCTTAAAATGATGAGTTATAAGGCATACTTGGTGAAATTCATTTCATTTTGAGATCAAGTGTGCCTAGAAATGAATTTGTATTCATAAGGATTTTTCCTTTTTCTCTTTAGAAAATGACAGGCTTTGTTCTTGAAAAGTTTGTTTTTAACAATGTAGCAAATTAATTCTGTGGAATAAATATTTGTAACTAAAGCATGATATAGAAAATTATGGATAGAAAACGAAATGTATTTTCCAAAAACATATAGAGTGTCCCAGTTCTCCTTTGGTGCCTGACTTAGAAACGCAATGGATATAGTCTGTTGTGTGTTTTTGGATTTTTAAGGAACATATTAAAATTCATATATGTAAGACTTGCTTATTTTATCATGATAGACGTAAAAGCACTCTTAATTTCTAAACAAACTACTGCAGGTAAAAACATTGGGATTTAATTATTGCCCTGTTCTGAGCACACAGCGGTCTTCCACATCAGATGGGAACCAGTGGAGCAGAGCTTAGAGAATTTGAGCTGGCCTCCTGAGGACAGGGATCTGCAGTAGCTTGACATCTTTCTGGAAGCTTCTATTGTGTGTCACTCCAATCAATGTAGTTTCTTTCTAGAAGATGACAAGACATTATTTTAAAACTACAAATATTCAGGCCACCATTATGGACAGTAGAATAACTGTGATAAGTACATTTCAAACTCCTAGTTCTTAGATCCCACCTAATGGACTAACAGGAAGAAATATGGAGCTTCATGGGTCATGCATTTATCAGCTGGATACTCCCTAAAAGTAACTTCAGAGTATTGTCTTCAGAGGGGAATAGTTCATTAAAAAGACTAAGCTCCATGAGCCATGCATTTTCTTTTTTTAAAATATGAATACAGATGCCTTTAATTAGTCAGGGAGCATAAAGGATGCATTTGATTATGTGACGGGCATGTAAGCTTTGTTGGCGCAATGACTCAACTTCATCATTTTTCTATCCTATAGGGCCTGGTGTTATTAAAACAATATATCTACAGATTTCAAAGTAATCCATTGACCAGAGAAATTTGCATCAGTATGGCTTCAATAAAGAAAGTAT